CTTCAGCGATGCCGCTTCCAGGTTCCAACATATTGCTGAGAATTTCAGAGAAGTGCACGCACAGCAGCTCGCATAATTCCGCTCAACTCGCTAGTTACCATTCTCGTTTTTTCGAGCTCTCGCGACTCCCGCGCTGTTCTCGCCGCGATCCACTCCTTGCTTAATCTCCTCTTCTCTCTCTCTCTCTCTCTCTCTCTCTCTCTCTCTCTCTCTCTCTCTCTCTCTCTCTCTCTCTCTCTCTCTCTCTCAACCGTCTCTCTCTCTCTCTAAACCGTCTCTCTAAACCGTCTCTCTTCCCATAATTGCGTTATCGCCGCAATTTGTACCAATGGCTTGCGCGGCATCACCCATCAACGCCGGCCGCGCCACGGCAGGGTGCATCTACGACAGCGCGGCGCCGGTGGCGGAGTTCCGTTTTAGTTTTGAGGCGCCTCAAAACGCGGCGCCGGTGGCGGAGTTCCGCGTGCTGGAGGGCTCTCATCGCGATCCACCCTTTCTCAATCTCCTCTCCTCTCTGCAGGGTGTTTCTACGACAGCGCGGAGCCGGTGGCGGAGTTCCGCGTGCTGGAGGGCGCGGGGTGGCGCCTGGGCTACGAGACGGCGCCCGCCAACGAGGAGGCCTTCTGCGCCATGGTGAGCCGCCCCGATCCCCCTCCAACCTTCCCTTCCTCCGCACACCCCTCCCCTCCTGCTGGAGGGCGCGGGGTGGCGCCTGGGCTACGAGACGGCGCCCGCCAACGAGGAGGCCTTCTGCGCCATGGTGAGCCCACTCTTCGTCCGCGGTACTGGTTTGGCGCCATTCCGGGTGGCTTGGCGCGATGCATGGCTTGACCCGCTGACGTGCCGGATTGAGCCCGCTCATCGCTCGCGTTGGTGGCTTGCCACCAAGCGGTCTCGCTTGGCGCGGTGCATAAATTGGCATGCAGGGTGCTGGCGCAGATAGTGTGTTGTGCGCTGTTGGTGGGCGCCCTGGCATGTCAAATTGCTTCTGGGCGCTAACAGGTCATGTTGCTGGGGTTTCTGTTTCTTTGTGTGATTCACCGCATGCGATTATTCCTTACTCGCCATGCGACCCCCTTGTGCCTCGTCCCTCGGCTCTCCCTCATGCGCGCGGATCCCCTGTCCGCCAATTCGTCCTTGCATCCCCCCCATCCGTGGATCGCTGGGCCGGCAGGTGGGCGCGGGCGGGTGGAGCGTGGCGCTGACGGCGTCGGAGTTCAACGACTTCTGCAAGCTCGTGCAGGTGGGTGCCTGGAATCAGCCTTACGATTTTCGAATCGACTCAACTCGGCTCAATACACGCGGTTTTGAGTCAACGAAGAGATCCTCCAAGGTCGTGCAAAAGCGCGCTTTGTAGCGTGGCTTATGCTGTTTTCCCAGACGCAGCCATGCATGGATTTCGCGAATTTCCACGTCAGAGCGACCCGCAGCCGCTTTAGGGCGTGCTTCCGTCTAGTTGTCCGTCGTGTTCTCATCACCTCAACGAGGCGATTCTTGAATCCATTGCTCCTGATCCACGTGCGCCCGTCCTGTCCCGTGCATGAGTGCAGATGCTGCGCAAGGGGCTGATCACGATGGACCAGGACGGAGTGCTCAACCGAGATGACATCGTGATGCAGGTGAGATGACGTGGGCGAGATGGCATGGTCATCCAGGTGAGATGACATGGTTGATCAAGGGGCTGATCACGATGGACCAGGACGGAGTGCTCAACCGAGATGACATTGTGATGCAGGTGAGGTGACGTGGTCATGCACGTGAGGTGGCGTGGTCCTGAAAGTGAGGTGACATGGTCATGAGGGTGTGAGATGACATGGTCCTGAGGGTGAGATGGTGAGATGCAATGGCATGACATCAAGCCAAATTATGGTAATTGATGGCCAGTGTTTACTGAGTGGGCAATTGATCTAGCGAAGCCACTCTGCTCCATGGCCCTGTCCAACACTGTTCCATTCCAACCCCCTCCGTCGCTCTCACTCTCTCCCTAGCTTTCTCCTGGCACGCTGCTGTCCATGATCTGACCCCTCATGTGCTGTGCTTCGCATGCTGCATGATTGTGATGAACTCTGCATGCTGCATATGTTTCACATGGCATGTCATTGGTGGTGCATGATGGTGTATTATGCATGATGCATGGTGCATGGCATCAGGTGGAGCTTGGCAATCTATGGATGGAGTGTGTGGTGGCGCGCCAAACATTGCCCACACTGCAGCGGTTCCTCAAGGTATGCCACACCCCACACCGCTTGCTGCTTCCAGCTCTGCTTTGCTTTTGTTCGCATCACATCACAGTCACTGCAAGTGTGCAATGCAGAGCTTGAGTTATGAGGTGCGCGAAACATACGGCCTTTCAAGCCCACCGCTGTCATCATCCCACCTAGCTGTCCTGCGACAATGGCGCCCATCCCTAGCTTCACTGTTGCCTGAACAGAGAAGCGTGAGCATGTGGCATGGATGACAGTGATATGCGAATTCATACAACGCTGGGGTGTGTGGTGTGTGTGCAGATGGGAGGGAGGCCCAGTGGAGCAGCCTTTGCCATCCGCTTCATTCTCTCAGGCACTGACTCCAAACGCCAGGTAAGGTCCTTCCTTGGTCACTGTACTCTTCTTTTGCTAATGGCTGCTGCAGAAAGAGACACCTTGTTACTTCAACAACTACGTCTCACGTCAATATGTCTGTCCGTCCACCACAACCTTCTCTTGCCTCTGCTCTGATCACTGCTCTCTGTGTGTGCCCTTCTCTGCCCGTGCAACCCCGCCCCATCCCACCAGGCGGAGGGCTTCTGGCCAGCGGAGGCGGTGATGGACATGCTGGCCAAGATGGACGAGCTCTCATCGCCTTCACAGCCCAACTCCAGCAAGCAAGCAGAAGCAGTCACCGCCTGAGCGGCAGCTAATTTGTCGACATAAATTGATTATTCGCACTAGTTCTCTGAAATCAATTACCATTTATTTCAGAGATGGTATGGATGTTTGTGTGCAGAATCCCACATCCAGCAGTGGGTGCTAGGAGGTCGATTGCAATAGTGAGTATGCCATTGGCTCCTGCACGCTCCCATGTAAATGGGGCTTATGCCAATAATGCTCGTGCTAGGAATTGAAAGATGTTTGCAGTTGAGTCTCCACTGTCAAGTATTGTTGAAATTATGGCAAGAGAGTTTTGCAAAAGTAAAGATGGATCAAGGTTTGACGGAGGCTTGCAGCGGCTGCTGATTGTGTGGAGCACAACGGCGGCCGTCAAACTGGTTGAGGTGGCGCGAAGCGGTTGGTGTGACTCGATGACAAGTAATTTCGGGCAGCACTTTTCTTCCGAACAGCTTCCGTTACTCTCTCTTCACCCTCCGATACAAACTCGCCCATATCCTACGGCTGTTTCGATCGCCCTCACCAGCAGGAGTTTTCTAGGTTAATGCACATGACACACGTCACATAAGCAAAGCGAGGCTGGCTGGCTGGATCTGTTGGCGGGAGCAAGAACTTCGCGCCTCGTGAACGCGGAAGGTTCTCCACCACCCCACTACAGCACAGCTGGACTGCGCGGGCCTGATCATCTGTGGCGCAACCCGAGCATCCATTTGTCATGCTGGGCTTTCCCCAGCCTTCAGGTTTGCTGGGCCTCGGGGATTGCCTGCCCAACATTGGGGTTTGCCGAGCGTTGGGGTTGCGCGACGGCGAACCAGACTTGGAAAGCAGGTTGATAAGCGTCAAGGTACAGTAATTCCAGTCGCAAGGAGAACGCGATTGATGACGGTAGCACGACCAATCCAAGCGCACAGGCAAGCAGGAGGAATTACAGGTCTGGTCAGTCGGTGAGAGGAGGAACTGTTATCCAGCAGTGTTGGTTTCGGTTTGATTGTTTTAGAATGGTTTGAGTTAGGTTGCTTACCTGATCACTGCCTTCAGTGATTGAAGTCCAGGTCAGACGGGCGAGGGTGGGGAAGGAACCAGTCAAGCCACGCTTGTAGACGAGACGGCTGTTGATGATGATCAGGAAAGTCCGAGGCTCTTTTTTGAGGCACATGCCAACCTAATCTTGCTCTTTTTGTTTTTTTTCGTTCGACGAATAATAAGGCCAGCTGCTACACCTCTTATTTTTTGCCAGGGCAGCAACCGCTGGTCATAGCGTATCATTAGGCCGTTGCAGTAGCTTCGCATGGCAGGCCCGACAAGTGCTAGCGGGGGAGGAAACATGATTGGTCGAGGCGGGGAATTGTCGAGTCGTCGAGTGGTCGGCGTAGGTCCCACGTCGCAGCGCGAATCGCGAGGAATGGGAATGGATGGCGCTAGGGATATTAGGGATGATCGCCGTGTGAGTGGGTGGAGGAGCAGTGAAGCGGGACAAGCGGGGGAAGGGAGGGAAAAGAAGCGCGTGTCGCGGGTGGTGCGGACGGCGTGGGTCCAATGCGACGACCTCAAGTGCAAGAAATGGCGGCGAGTGCCGATGCAAATTGCACGAGCCATGAGCAGCAGCGATGCGAGATGGTTAGTGAATAGGAAAATTCAATGCTGTGTCGGTCGATTGTAAGCCAAAGCGGCGTGAGTCATCTCATCGGAAGAAGGTTCTTTCGCCAATCCTTGCTGGCCTCGTGCCGCTCGCCGCATACTCTCGTCCCGTCCATATCACCCCGTGTTTCCGGTGTTAGGGTTTCGTGTTAGGCTCCACGCCTCCACGTGCTCCGCCGCAGCTGACAGCCTCAACATTTTCGCCACTGTCCTACGCCGTGGAACCGTTTTGCCAGTCCTCGTTGGTTAGACGACATTCAATTTCCTCCCTGCCATCTCAAGCATTGTCTCTACCATCCGTGAGGTCATCGCTGCGACCGATGGCGTATAATCGGCAAACCCTATAAACAGCCGCAGCGACCCTTGCATTCACCTACCGTCCTGTTCGTTCCGCCACTTACATTGCTCGTCCCCTTTTGTCGCCTCCATGCCCCATATTCCCCGTCGTCTTTCTCACCTCCCGCCGGTTCCCGACATTGTCGCAGGTTTTGTCGCATGAATCCTGATCCCGCCTTCGCCAGCTGTCGCGTGCCGCAGGAAAGCGACGACGCGAACAACAATGACGACGCCGAGGACGACGACGAAGCGGAGCAGGACACGCGGGGAAGAGACGGCGCAGGGGGGAGCAACAGCAGGGGCGAGAGGGAGATGGGCGCGCGGAAACAGCAGGGAGGGGGGGAGGGAAGGGGGCATGGGGAAGAAGCGGAGGGCGGCGGGGGAGGGTCGGCGGAGTGGAGCAGCGCGAGCGAGTGTAGCAGCGAGTGCAGTGACGGCGACGGCAGCGTCGCCATCCAGTTCTCCGACTCCGACGACGACCCCGACCCGGGGGACGACGACGCGCAGTGCGCGCCGTGGCGGGGCGCGGATAGCGCGCAGGCCGGGCGCGGAGGGGAGGTGCCGTGGTGGCAGTGGGGGAGCAGCGGAAATGGCAGGTTCGGGGGAGGCGCGCCAGGGCGGGGGAAGGCGGGGGCTGGGAGGGGAAGGGGGAGAGGCGCGGGAGGGGTGGGCGGAAGTTGGGGCGCGGTCATGGGGGGACCGGGGAAGCCCGCGGTTCCTCCGCCTCGCCTCGTGGGTGAGTCCGCCTGTCCTTGCGCTTGCGCGTGCTAGCCACGCCGCGCCTCGCCCTCTTCCCCGCCAACATTCTTCCGCTTCCACCCGTTTTCCCCCACCTTACATGAGTGTTGAACAATCGCCTGCTTGCGCGCGCGTGTTTCGTTCCCCTTGGGCGGGGCGTGCGCAGGGTCGGGCAAGCGCGCGTGGATCCGCATCGTGGAGAACGAGTACCTGCACCGCCGCCCCAAGCTGCAGCGCACCGACGAGGTGAGCGGGGGAGGGGGCGCGCGGGTGGAGGGGGAGGGTGGAGGCGGAGGAGAGGAGAGGGTAGGATGGAGTGAAAAATGGGCGACATGTTGTAGGGGAGAGGACGAGGCAGAATGGGAAACTCGCAAGGGGGCAATGCAGGGACCAAGGTTCAAAAATACGGCAATCGTAAATTACGGTCCGTAATTTACGGTCGTATTTTACGGTGGTTTTGGCAAAAATACGGCCGTTTTTTTGTTGGAGTTTTGTTTGTACTTTTTTTTTTCCTGAAAGTTCTAGGCAGCTTACAACGATGACAAGGAAGCCTACAAGAAACTACACTACACTACCTAGGCAAATCTGCACTTAATCCCTCCTCTTCCTCCATCCTACTCCTCCTCCACCTCCTACTCCTCATGCACCTCTCCTACTCCTCTCCTCCTCCACCTCCTACCCTTCATCCTCCTCGTGGTCCTCCTCCTCCTCATCCTCCTCCTCCTCCCCACTCTCACCATCACTGCAGTCCCACGGCCGGACTGCCTTAGGACGCTTGGAGGGTCCTACCTCCCGCCCATTGCTCTCTGCCGCCTCCTCCTCCTCCTCGTCGTCGTTCTCCTCCTCCTCCTCCTCCTCCTCCTCCTCCTCCTCCTCCTCCTCCTCCTCCTCCTCCTCCTCCTCCTCCTCCTCCTCCTCCTCCTCCACACGCTTCTTTCCTCTCCCCTTCCGCTTGCATGGCCCCTTTCCCTTCTCCTTCCTCTTCCTCTTGGAGCTCTCTCCCGCGCGCTTCTTCTTCTTCTTACCAATGCTCCCAAATACAGTCCAGTCGATGGTGCACTGTGCCACATCGGCTCCCTCCTCCTCTTCAGCCCCACCTTCATCCTCTTCCACTGTTGCGGGCGGGGGCACGGCAATGCCCTCTTTGAGGGTTCCGTCGGTGAGATCAGCGTACAACTTCGCACGCGCCTGAGTTTTGCGATCAAACGCATCGCGGGCCCTCCTGGTGAAGGCCACGAAGGTGACATCAGTCATCTTCTTGGCCGCAATGCGGTTCCGATCCCGCCTTTGCACTCGTGCAAGGGCGGAAAAATACCGCTCCACCTCGGACGAGGTGACGGGCTGTGATAGGGTCGTCACAGCCAGTTCTTGGAGCGCTTGCACTTCCCCACCGAAAATCCACCACCACTCCGCATCCGTCATGCGCCCCCCCTCCACCAAGGTCTTGGCTGCCCATAGAGCGTCATCCGACCCGAGGCGGCCCTCACCCTTGTGGAACTGCACCAGCCGTGTCTGCAGCTTGATGCGCTGGGCAACATCCCCCCCCCGGGCCTGAATCACCTGGTCGGCCCCCTTCCTCACCTCCGCATCGGTTCTCACCTCCCCCGCGTACTGGTTGCGGGGATTAAGAAGCCATCCCAGGGCATGCAGGGGGTTGTGCAGCTGCCCGTCCCATCGCCGGGCAAGGATGCCCTTGATGGATGCCATGAAGGTGCTCTTGTCCTTGGCCAAGAGCAGGCCCGTCTTCTTGATGAATACCGCGGCTGCTCACGGTGAGGATGGAGGAGTTGATCGTTAACATAGGGAACGGCAAGCGCGGTTTGATCAAGCATGCATCACAGATTCGGAAGAAGGAATAGAAGTAAACATAAAAGAGATTTGCACTTACCGGCGGCCTCTGCAGCTTCCCGTGTCTTGACCGTGATATCAATCATGAGGCCATAGATTTGGCCCATGACTTGTGCCCGCGTGTCAACCACCCTTAGCACTTCATAAACCGGCGTGAGGAGGCGGAGCACCGCAGAAACACAGTCCCAAAAGACGTCGTCTAGAAGAAGCGCCCGCACCTCCTGCCCTTCTTTCTTTTGCGCCACCGCCACCCCTTTCCATTCATCGCTGATGACCATGGCCTGGAGAGCCCTCTTCACCTCCAAGAAGCGGCGTATCATGATGAATTGAGTGCCGAACCGTGTCGCACCTGGCCGCACCAATGCAAGCTTGGTAAAAAGCTCGCGGAATAGAACGACGGCGGAGGCGCTGCCCTTGATCATCATGACGACTCGATGCACTTGCTCTAACACGCGTTTGACGGGCTTAACTTTCCCTAGGTCGTGAAGCATAAGATCCAAGCAGTGGGCGGCGCAGTTCGCGAAAAAAACCGAGGGAAACTCCTCCTTAAGCTTCTCAGCCGCGGATCGATTGTTAGACGCGTTGTCCATGATGACCTGGACCACGAGGTCCTTCCCCACTTCGGAGATTGAGTTCCCGATGAGGCCCGCGAGGTAATCTCCTGTTTTCTTGGCGGTTTTCGAGTCCACGATGTCCACAATGACGGGCGCGGTGTCATTGTAGGCGATGACGCACACGATCCCGCGGGACTTCATGCACGTCCACCCGTCCACCGAGAGACTGCACTCGGTCGTCTTCCAACTCTCCTTCAACGGCCTTACAAGCTCCTCGGCGTCCGCCCTTAACTTGTCGAGGAGAGAGCCGGACACCTTGTAAGGGGTTGGGAGTGTGTAGGGCTTCGCGAACACGACCGCCGCGTCAACGAAAGCCTGTAGCGCACGCGATTTGGAGACGTCGAAGGCTAGATCATTCTCTGCCACAACTGCCGCCCACAGGTAGTCCAAACGCGCGCGGGCAACGGTATCCGCCATATCGCGGATGTCCCGCTGCCTAGAACGCCTTGCGGGCTGCATCTCGACCGTGGTGAAGGTAGAGGCCCGGTTGGAACTGGATGGTGTGGAAGACCGATCCCTCTCGTCGGCTTCACGAAGCCGCTTGGCAAACTCGGACGGACACGGCGACACGTTCTTCTCCCTTGATCGAGGGGTCCCGTAGATGTGCTCTCTAATACGAGTGGCATTTGGCGTCACGGTAGCAGGGCAATAGCTGCATGTCGCGGTGACTACGCCGTTAGGAGATGTAACCTTCGTCACGTGCTCCCACACCTCCGAGAAAGGTCTAACCATGGTGGAATACCGCACTTGACTGAAGCTGTAAAATGCCTACTAAGATGTACTTGTCGAGTAGGTTTATCGCCCTGTTCTTTGTACCTTGCTAGACTTGGTTGAGTTGCTTTGGCGAACGGAAAAGGCAGAAGGGATGGGATGGGATGGGATGGAGATTGGACTAACGCTATTGGTCAAAATTGTTTCGCAGCGCAAAGTTGGGTTGTGTCGCGCACGCGGGCGAAAATAACGACGGGGCCGCGAATCGTCCCACCGACCTAACGAAACGGGTTGACGGGTGATAACGGTTCGCCAAATGTACAAATTACCGCATCGCGCAAATTTGTACATTTGCGCTTCGGCGAAATACACAAACTGACATTTCGTAAGGGCAACAGAGCAGCAAAACGTTCGCCAAAAAACCAAATGTCGCGCCTCGAGAAATACTCGACATGCGCGACTCGGGAAAAAAACAAACGCGTGTGCATTTGGCAGCACGAATGTCTCAAACCCAGGGTGACGGTTGGGAAATGCCGAAATTCGCTATTGCAAACTCAGTATCAAATTTTCGGTCGTAATTTACGACCGTATTTTTAAAGCAGCATGAAATTACAATGATTGACCGTTTTTTACCGTAATTTACGACCGTAATTTACGATTCCGTAATTTACGACCGTAATTTACGATTCCGTAATTTACGGCAAATTTTCAAAAATACGGCCGTATTTTTGAACCTTGGCAGGGACTGAGGAAGACGAGGTAGCGTGACGCGAACAAAAGAGGCACAATCGCATGTCACGGGTTTCATGGCTTTCCCTTTCCCAACACACAAACTCTTCAGTTCGCAACCATTTTATTTTCCCCCGGCTCCTCCCCTGGCCCTCCCTCTCCCGCAGGTACTGGTGTGCCAGTGTGTGCCGCCGCCACCCGGGCGGCGAGAGAGGGGGTGCGGGGAGTCGTGTCTGAACCGCCTGGTCAGCATCGAGTGCCAGCCCAAGCTCTGCCCCTGCGGCGCTGCCTGCGCCAACCAGCAGGTGTGTACTCTCATGCGGTGCAGTGCGGTGCAGCGTGGTGACTTTTGAGCCGACTCAAAAGCCTCAAAAGAGGGGATGCGGGGAGTCGTGTTTGAACCGCCTGGTCAGCATTGAGTGCCAGCCCAAGCTCTGCCCCTGCGGCGCCGCCTGCGCCAACCAACAGGTCAGCGCTCTCATGCAGTGCACTCCGGTGCTCTCGCCACCACCCACACACCAGTTCCCGCCCCGTGTCCCTTGTCCCTGCCCCATGCCACTCTTCGTTGCCCCCTTCCCTCGTCTCCGTCCCTTCCCTCTCTCCCCCCTCACATTCCCCTCCCTCTCGGCCCCTTTCCCCACATTCTCCGCCACAACAGTTCCAGCAGCGGCGGTACGTGAAGGTGGAGATAGCCCGCTACGGCCGCAAGGGGTACGGCGTGCGGGCGCGGCAGGCGGTGGCAGCGGGGCAGTTCATAGTGGAGTACGTGGGGGAGGTGCTCAACCGCAAGGCGTTTGCCGTGCGCCTGGAGGAGTACAGGCGCGCCAAGCAGCGCCACTACTACTTCATGACGCTCAACAACAGCGAGGTACAGCCCACGCCCCTGCTATTTGAGATAAAATAAGAATCCGAGTGCGGGTGTGCCAAGCAGCATCACCGGTGTTAGATGACAGTCAGCAACCGTGCGGTAGGCACCGTTGCTAGCCAAGCCTTCATTTCATGCGCCACCTCCTGCTGACATATGCCCCTCCGGCACCCCATGCACCTCCTGCTGACATATGCCCCTCCGGCACCCCATGCACCTCCTGCTGACATATGCCCCTCCGGCACCCCATGCACCTCCTGCTGACATATGCCCCTCCGGCACCCCATGCACCTCCTGCTGACATATGCCCCTCCGGCACCCCATGCACCTCCTGCTGACATATGCCCCTCCGGCACCCCATGCACCTCCTGCTGACATATGCCCCTCCGGCACCCCATGCACCTCCTGCTGACATATGCCCCTCCGGCACCCCATGCACCTCCTGCTGACATATGCCCCTCCGGCACCCCATGCACCTCCTGCTGACATATGCCCCTCCGGCACCCCATGCACCTCCTGCTGACATATGCCCCTCCGGCACCCCATGCACCTCCTGCTGACATATGCCCCTCCGGCACCCCATGCACCTCCTGCTGACATATGCCCCTCCGGCACCCCATGCACCTCCTGCTGACATATGCCCCTCCGGCACCCCATGCACCTCCTGCTGACATATGCCCCTCCGGCACCCCATGCACCTCCTGCTGACATATGCCCCTCCGGCACCCCATGCACCTCCTGCTGACATATGCCCCTCCGGCACCCCATGCACCTCCTGCTGACATATGCCCCTCCGGCACCCCATGCACCTCCTGCTGACATATGCCCCTCCGGCACCCCATGCACCTCCTGCTGACATATGCCCCTCCGGCACCCCATGCACCTCCTGCTGACATATGCCCCTCCGGCACCCCATGCACCTCCTGCTGACATATGCCCCTCCGGCACCCCATGCACCTCCTGCTGACATATGCCCCTCCGGCACCCCATGCACCTCCTGCTGACATATGCCCCTCCGGCACCCCATGCACCTCCTGCTGACATATGCCCCTCCGGCACCCCATGCACCTCCTGCTGACATATGCCCCTCCGGCACCCCATGCACCTCCTGCTGACATATGCCCCTCCGGCACCCCATGCACCTCCTGCTGACATATGCCCCTCCGGCACCCCATGCACCTCCTGCTGACATATGCCCCTCCGGCACCCCATGCACCTCCTGCTGACATATGCCCCTCCGGCACCCCATGCACCTCCTGCTGACATATGCCCCTCCGGCACCCCATGCACCTCCTGCTGACATATGCCCCTCCGGCACCCCATGCACCTCCTGCTGACATATGCCCCTCCGGCACCCCATGCACCTCCTGCTGACATATGCCCCTCCGGCACCCCATGCACCTCCTGCTGACATATGCCCCTCCGGCACCCCATGCACCTCCTGCTGACATATGCCCCTCCGGCACCCCATGCACCTCCTGCTGACATATGCCCCTCCGGCACCCCATGCACCTCCTGCTGACATATGCCCCTCCGGCACCCCATGCACCTCCTGCTGACATATGCCCCTCCGGCACCCCATGCACCTCCTGCTGACATATGCCCCTCCGGCACCCCATGCACCTCCTGCTGACATATGCCCCTCCGGCACCCCATGCACCTCCTGCTGACATATGCCCCTCCGGCACCCCATGCACCTCCTGCTGACATATGCCCCTCCGGCACCCCATGCACCTCCTGCTGACATATGCCCCTCCGGCACCCCATGCACCTCCTGCTGACATATGCCCCTCCGGCACCCCATGCACCTCCTGCTGACATATGCCCCTCCGGCACCCCATGCACCTCCTGCTGACATATGCCCCTCCGGCACCCCATGCACCTCCTGCTGACATATGCCCCTCCGGCACCCCATGCACCTCCTGCTGACATATGCCCCTCCGGCACCCCATGCACCTCCTGCTGACATATGCCCCTCCGGCACCCCATGCACCTCCTGCTGACATATGCCCCTCCGGCACCCCATGCACCTCCTGCTGACATATGCCCCTCCGGCACCCCATGCACCTCCTGCTGACATATGCCCCTCCGGCACCCCATGCACCTCCTGCTGACATATGCCCCTCCGGCACCCCATGCACCTCCTGCTGACATATGCCCCTCCGGCACCCCATGCACCTCCTGCTGACATATGCCCCTCCGGCACCCCATGCACCTCCTGCTGACATATGCCCCTCCGGCACCCCATGCACCTCCTGCTGACATATGCCCCTCCGGCACCCCATGCACCTCCTGCTGACATATGCCCCTCCGGCACCCCATGCACCTCCTGCTGACATATGCCCCTCCGGCACCCCATGCACCTCCTGCTGACATATGCCCCTCCGGCACCCCATGCACCTCCTGCTGACATATGCCCCTCCGGCACCCCATGCACCTCCTGCTGACATATGCCCCTCCGGCACCCCATGCACCTCCTGCTGACATATGCCCCTCCGGCACCCCATGCACCTCCTGCTGACATATGCCCCTCCGGCACCCCATGCACCTCCTGCTGACATATGCCCCTCCGGCACCCCATGCACCTCCTGCTGACATATGCCCCTCCGGCACCCCATGCACCTCCTGCTGACATATGCCCCTCCGGCACCCCATGCACCTCCTGCTGACATATGCCCCTCCGGCACCCCATGCACCTCCTGCTGACATATGCCCCTCCGGCACCCCATGCACCTCCTGCTGACATATGCCCCTCCGGCACCCCATGCACCTCCTGCTGACATATGCCCCTCCGGCACCCCATGCACCTCCTGCTGACATATGCCCCTCCGGCACCCCATGCACCTCCTGCTGACATATGCCCCTCCGGCACCCCATGCACCTCCTGCTGACATATGCCCCTCCGGCACCCCATGCACCTCCTGCTGACATATGCCCCTCCGGCACCCCATGCACCTCCTGCTGACATATGCCCCTCCGGCACCCCATGCACCTCCTGCTGACATATGCCCCTCCGGCACCCCATGCACCTCCTGCTGACATATGCCCCTCCGGCACCCCATGCACCTCCTGCTGACATATGCCCCTCCGGCACCCCATGCACCTCCTGCTGACATATGCCCCTCCGGCACCCCATGCACCTCCTGCTGACATATGCCCCTCCGGCACCCCATGCACCTCCTGCTGACATATGCCCCTCCGGCACCCCATGCACCTCCTGCTGACATATGCCCCTCCGGCACCCCATGCACCTCCTGCTGACATATGCCCCTCCGGCACCCCATGCACCTCCTGCTGACATATGCCCCTCCGGCACCCCATGCACCTCCTGCTGACATATGCCCCTCCGGCACCCCATGCACCTCCTGCTGACATATGCCCCTCCGGCACCCCATGCACCTCCTGCTGACATATGCCCCTCCGGCACCCCATGCACCTCCTGCTGACATATGCCCCTCCGGCACCCCATGCACCTCCTGCTGACATATGCCCCTCCGGCACCCCATGCACCTCCTGCTGACATATGCCCCTCCGGCACCCCATGCACCTCCTGCTGACATATGCCCCTCCGGCACCCCATGCACCTCCTGCTGACATATGCCCCTCCGGCACCCCATGCACCTCCTGCTGACATATGCCCCTCCGGCACCCCATGCACCTCCTGCTGACATATGCCCCTCCGGCACCCCATGCACCTCCTGCTGACATATGCCCCTCCGGCACCCCATGCACCTCCTGCTGACATATGCCCCTCCGGCACCCCATGCACCTCCTGCTGACATATGCCCCTCCGGCACCCCATGCACCTCCTGCTGACATATGCCCCTCCGGCACCCCATGCACCTCCTGCTGACATATGCCCCTCCGGCACCCCATGCACCTCCTGCTGACATATGCCCCTCCGGCACCCCATGCACCTCCTGCTGACATATGCCCCTCCGGCACCCCATGCACCTCCTGCTGACATATGCCCCTCCGGCACCCCATGCACCTCCTGCTGACATATGCCCCTCCGGCACCCCATGCACCTCCTGCTGACATATGCCCCTCCGGCACCCCATGCACCTCCTGCTGACATATGCCCCTCCGGCACCCCATGCACCTCCTGCTGACATATGCCCCTCCGGCACCCCATGCACCTCCTGCTGACATATGCCCCTCCGGCACCCCATGCACCTCCTGCTGACATATGCCCCTCCGGCACCCCATGCACCTCCTGCTGACATATGCCCCTCCGGCACCCCATGCACCTCCTGCTGACATATGCCCCTCCGGCACCCCATGCACCTCCTGCTGACATATGCCCCTCCGGCACCCCATGCACCTCCTGCTGACATATGCCCCTCCGGCACCCCATGCACCTCCTGCTGACATATGCCCCTCCGGCACCCCATGCACCTCCTGCTGACATATGCCCCTCCGGCACCCCATGCACCTCCTGCTGACATATGCCCCTCCGGCACCCCATGCACCTCCTGCTGACATATGCCCCTCCGGCACCCCATGCACCTCCTGCTGACATATGCCCCTCCGGCACCCCATGCACCTCCTGCTGACATATGCCCCTCCGGCACCCCATGCACCTCCTGCTGACATATGCCCCTCCGGCACCCCATGCACCTCCTGCTGACATATGCCCCTCCGGCACCCCATGCACCTCCTGCTGACATATGCCCCTCCGGCACCCCATGCACCTCCTGCTGACATATGCCCCTCCGGCACCCCATGCACCTCCTGCTGACATATGCCCCTCCGGCACCCCATGCACCTCCTGCTGACATATGCCCCTCCGGCACCCCATGCACCTCCTGCTGACATATGCCCCTCCGGCACCCCATGCACCTCCTGCTGACATATGCCCCTCCGGCACCCCATGCACCTCCTGCTGACATATGCCCCTCCGGCACCCCATGCACCTCCTGCTGACATATGCCCCTCCGGCACCCCATGCACCTCCTGCTGACATATGCCCCTCCGGCACCCCATGCACCTCCTGCTGACATATGCCCCTCCGGCACCCCATGCACCTCCTGCTGACATATGCCCCTCCGGCACCCCATGCACCTCCTGCTGACATATGCCCCTCCGGCACCCCATGCACCTCCTGCTGACATATGCCCCTCCGGCACCCCATGCACCTCCTGCTGACATATGCCCCTCCGGCACCCCATGCACCTCCTGCTGACATATGCCCCTCCGGCACCCCATGCACCTCCTGCTGACATATGCCCCTCCGGCACCCCATGCACCTCCTGCTGACATATGCCCCTCCGGCACCCCATGCACCTCCTGCTGACATATGCCCCTCCGGCACCCCATGCACCTCCTGCTGACATATGCCCCTCCGGCACCCCATGCACCTCCTGCTGACATATGCCCCTCCGGCACCCCATGCACCTCCTGCTGACATATGCCCCTCCGGCACCCCATGCACCTCCTGCTGACATATGCCCCTCCGGCACCCCATGCACCTCCTGCTGACATATGCCCCTCCGGCACCCCATGCACCTCCTGCTGACATATGCCCCTCCGGCACCCCATGCACCTCCTGCTGACATATGCCCCTCCGGCACCCCATGCACCTCCTGCTGACATATGCCCCTCCGGCACCCCATGCACCTCCTGCTGACATATGCCCCTCCGGCACCCCATGCACCTCCTGCTGACATATGCCCCTCCGGCACCCCATGCACCTCCTGCTGACATATGCCCCTCCGGCACCCCATGCACCTCCTGCTGACATATGCCCCTCCGGCACCCCATGCACCTCCTGCTGACATATGCCCCTCCGGCACCCCATGCACCTCCTGCTGACATATGCCCCTCCGGCACCCCATGCACCTCCTGCTGACATATGCCCCTCCGGCACCCCATGCACCTCCTGCTGACATATGCCCCTCCGGCACCCCATGCACCTCCTGCTGACATATGCCCCTCCGGCACCCCATGCACCTCCTGCTGACATATGCCCCTCCGGCACCCCATGCACCTCCTGCTGACATATGCCCCTCCGGCACCCCATGCACCTCCTGCTGACATATGCCCCTCCGGCACCCCATGCACCTCCTGCTGACATATGCCCCTCCGGCACCCCATGCACCTCCTGCTGACATATGCCCCTCCGGCACCCCATGCACCTCCTGCTGACATATGCCCCTCCGGCACCCCATGCACCTCCTGCTGACATATGCCCCTCCGGCACCCCATGCACCTCCTGCTGACATATGCCCCTCCGGCACCCCATGCACCTCCTGCTGACATATGCCCCTCCGGCACCCCATGCACCTCCTGCTGACATATGCCCCTCCGGCACCCCATGCACCTCCTGCTGACATATGCCCCTCCGGCACCCCATGCACCTCCTGCTGACATATGCCCCTCCGGCACCCCATGCACCTCCTGCTGACATATGCCCCTCCGGCACCCCATGCACCTCCTGCTGACATATGCCCCTCCGGCACCCCATGCACCTCCTGCTGACATATGCCCCTCCGGCACCCCATGCACCTCCTGCTGACATATGCCCCTCCGGCACCCCATGCACCTCCTGCTGACATATGCCCCTCCGGCACCCCATGCACCTCCTGCTGACATATGCCCCTCCGGCACCCCATGCACCTCCTGCTGACATATGCCCCTCCGGCACCCCATGCACCTCCTGCTGACATATGCCCCTCCGGCACCCCATGCACCTCCTGCTGACATATGCCCCTCCGGCACCCCATGCACCTCCTGCTGACATATGCCCCTCCGGCACCCCATGCACCTCCTGCTGACATATGCCCCTCCGGCACCCCATGCACCTCCTGCTGACATATGCCCCTCCGGCACCCCATGCACCTCCTGCTGACATATGCCCCTCCGGCACCCCATGCACCTCCTGCTGACATATGCCCCTCCGGCACCCCATGCACCTCCTGCTGACATATGCCCCTCCGGCACCCCATGCACCTCCTGCTGACATATGCCCCTCCGGCACCCCATGCACCTCCTGCTGACATATGCCCCTCCGGCACCCCATGCACCTCCTGCTGACATATGCCCCTCCGGCACCCCATGCACCTCCTGCTGACATATGCCCCTCCGGCACCCCATGCACCTCCTGCTGACATATGCCCCTCCGGCACCCCATGCACCTCCTGCTGACATATGCCCCTCCGGCACCCCATGCACCTCCTGCTGACATATGCCCCTCCGGCACCCCATGCACCTCCTGCTGACATATGCCCCTCCGGCACCCCATGCACCTCCTGCTGACATATGCCCCTCCGGCACCCCATGCACCTCCTGCTGACATATGCCCCTCCGGCACCCCATGCACCTCCTGCTGACATATGCCCCTCCGGCACCCCATGCACCTCCTGCTGACATATGCCCCTCCGGCACCCCATGCACCTCCTGCTGACATATGCCCCTCCGGCACCCCATGCACCTCCTGCTGACATATGCCCCTCCGGCACCCCATGCACCTCCTGCTGACATATGCCCCTCCGGCACCCCATGCACCTCCTGCTGACATATGCCCCTCCGGCACCCCATGCACCTCCTGCTGACATATGCCCCTCCGGCACCCCATGCACCTCCTGCTGACATATGCCCCTCCGGCACCCCATGCACCTCCTGCTGACATATGCCCCTCCGGCACCCCATGCACCTCCTGCTGACATATGCCCCTCCGGCACCCCATGCACCTCCTGCTGACATATGCCCCTCCGGCACCCCATGCACCTCCTGCTGACATATGCCCCTCCGGCACCCCATGCACCTCCTGCTGACATATGCCCCTCCGGCACCCCATGCACCTCCTGCTGACATATGCCCCTCCGGCACCCCATGCACCTCCTGCTGACATATGCCCCTCCGGCACCCCATGCACCTCCTGCTGACATATGCCCCTCCGGCACCCCATGCACCTCCTGCTGACATATGCCCCTCCGGCACCCCATGCACCTCCTGCTGACATATGCCCCTCCGGCACCCCATGCACCTCCTGCTGACATATGCCCCTCCGGCACCCCATGCACCTCCTGCTGACATATGCCCCTCCGGCACCCCATGCACCTCCTGCTGACATATGCCCCTCCGGCACCCCATGCACCTCCTGCTGACATATGCCCCTCCGGCACCCCATGCACCTCCTGCTGACATATGCCCCTCCGGCACCCCATGCACCTCCTGCTGACATATGCCCCTCCGGCACCCCATGCACCTCCTGCTGACATATGCCCCTCCGGCACCCCATGCACCTCCTGCTGACATATGCCCCTCCGGCACCCCATGCACCTCCTGCTGACATATGCCCCTCCGGCACCCCATGCACCTCCTGCTGACATATGCCCCTCCGGCACCCCATGCACCTCCTGCTGACATATGCCCCTCCGGCACCCCATGCACCTCCTGCTGACATATGCCCCTCCGGCACCCCATGCACCTCCTGCTGACATATGCCCCTCCGGCACCCCATGCACCTCCTGCTGACATATGCCCCTCCGGCACCCCATGCACCTCCTGCTGACATATGCCCCTCCGGCACCCCATGCACCTCCTGCTGACATATGCCCCTCCGGCACCCCATGCACCTCCTGCTGACATATGCCCCTCCGGCACCCCATGCACCTCCTGCTGACATATGCCCCTCCGGCACCCCATGCACCTCCTGCTGACATATGCCCCTCCGGCACCCCATGCACCTCCTGCTGACATATGCCCCTCCGGCACCCCATGCACCTCCTGCTGACATATGCCCCTCCGGCACCCCATGCACCTCCTGCTGACATATGCCCCTCCGGCACCCCATGCACCTCCTGCTGACATATGCCCCTCCGGCACCCCATGCACCTCCTGCTGACATATGCCCCTCCGGCACCCCATGCACCTCCTGCTGACATATGCCCCTCCGGCACCCCATGCACCTCCTGCTGACATATGCCCCTCCGGCACCCCATGCACCTCCTGCTGACATATGCCCCTCCGGCACCCCATGCACCTCCTGCTGACATATGCCCCTCCGGCACCCCATGCACCTCCTGCTGACATATGCCCCTCCGGCACCCCATGCACCTCCTGCTGACATATGCCCCTCCGGCACCCCATGCACCTCCTGCTGACATATGCCCCTCCGGCACCCCATGCACCTCCTGCTGACATATGCCCCTCCGGCACCCCATGCACCTCCTGCTGACATATGCCCCTCCGGCACCCCATGCACCTCCTGCTGACATATGCCCCTCCGGCACCCCATGCACCTCCTGCTGACATATGCCCCTCCGGCACCCCATGCACCTCCTGCTGACATATGCCCCTCCGGCACCCCATGCACCTCCTGCTGACATATGCCCCTCCGGCACCCCATGCACCTCCTGCTGACATATGCCCCTCCGGCACCCCATGCACCTCCTGCTGACATATGCCCCTCCGGCACCCCATGCACCTCCTGCTGACATATGCCCCTCCGGCACCCCATGCACCTCCTGCTGACATATGCCCCTCCGGCACCCCATGCACCTCCTGCTGACATATGCCCCTCCGGCACCCCATGCACCTCCTGCTGACATATGCCCCTCCGGCACCCCATGCACCTCCTGCTGACATATGCCCCTCCGGCACCCCATGCACCTCCTGCTGACATATGCCCCTCCGGCACCCCATGCACCTCCTGCTGACATATGCCCCTCCGGCACCCCATGCACCTCCTGCTGACATATGCCCCTCCGGCACCCCATGCACCTCCTGCTGACATATGCCCCTCCGGCACCCCATGCACCTCCTGCTGACATATGCCCCTCCGGCACCCCATGCACCTCCTGCTGACATATGCCCCTCCGGCACCCCATGCACCTCCTGCTGACATATGCCCCTCCGGCACCCCATGCACCTCCTGCTGACATATGCCCCTCCGGCACCCCATGCACCTCCTGCTGACATATGCCCCTCCGGCACCCCATGCACCTCCTGCTGACATATGCCCCTCCGGCACCCCATGCACCTCCTGCTGACATATGCCCCTCCGGCACCCCATGCACCTCCTGCTGACATATGCCCCTCCGGCACCCCATGCACCTCCTGCTGACATATGCCCCTCCGGCACCCCATGCACCTCCTGCTGACATATGCCCCTCCGGCACCCCATGCACCTCCTGCTGACATATGCCCCTCCGGCACCCCATGCACCTCCTGCTGACATATGCCCCTCCGGCACCCCATGCACCTCCTGCTGACATATGCCCCTCCGGCACCCCATGCACCTCCTGCTGACATATGCCCCTCCGGCACCCCATGCACCTCCTGCTGACATATGCCCCTCCGGCACCCCATGCACCTCCTGCTGACATATGCCCCTCCGGCACCCCATGCACCTCCTGCTCCCCTTCCCCCCCCTTTCATGCGCCTATGCCCGCCATGCCTTCCCCCTGCGCACACGGGCAGGTGATAGACGCATGCCGCAAGGGCAACTTCTCGCGCTTCCTCAACCACAGCTGCGAGCCCAACTGCTGTCTTGAGAAGGTGCGTGCTCACTGATTGGGCTGATTGGATCGACTGGGTTGGCATGTGCGTGGGCTGACACAGGGTTGAGGCCGTGCAGATGGACTGCTTGCCTGCCAGCCTGCCCTGCCTGCTTCCCATCGCATCTTGCCTGCGCTCACATCTGCATGCGCCACCATCTTCATCCTCATCACCCACGCCCTCTCATCACCTCTCCCGTCCTCTCAACTCCCGTTCCCCCCACCACTCATGCCTGTCCCCATCGCCCTGTTGCCTCTCACCGCCGTGTGGGGCTGCAGTGGATGGTGCGGGGCGAGCTGCGCATTGGGCTCTTCTCACCTCTCCTGTCCTCTCCTCTGCTGTCTCCCCCACAATTCGTGTCTGTCCCCATCGTCCTGTCGTCTCTCACCCCCGTGTGTCACCTGCAGTGGATGGTGCGGGGCGAGCTGCGCATTGGGCTCTTCTCCCTGCGCCCCATCAAAGCGGTGAGACCCCTCCTCCCCGACCCTCCCCCTGTCCCTGCCCCTGCTCCTGCTCCTGCCCCTGCCTCTTCCCCTGCCCCTGCTCCTGCTCCTGCCCCTGCCTCTTCCCCTGCCCCTGCTCCTGCCCCTGCCCCTGCTCCTGCTCCTGCCCCTGCTCCTGCTCCTGCCCCTGCTCCTGCTCCTGCCCCTGCCCCTGCTCCTGCTCCTGCCCCTGCTCCTGCTCCTGCCCCTGCTCCTGCCCCTGCCCCTGCCCCTGCTCCTGCCCCTGCCCCTGCTCCTGCTCCTGCCCCTGCTCCTGCTCCTGCCCCTGCTCCTGCCCCTGCCCCTGCTCCTGCTCCTGCCCCTGCCTCTTCCCCTGTCCCTGCTCCTGCCCCTGCCCCTGCTCCTGCTCCTGCCCCTGCCCCTGCTCCTGCTCCTGCTCCTGCCTCTTCCCCTGTCCCTGCTCCTGCCGCTGACATGTACTTGCGCGCCTTCGTCTCCTCGTCGCTTTCAACTTCCCCGTTGACTCACCGCAAGAACTCCGACCTCAATTATGGCGAGGAGCTATCATTTAAGAGCGCTTTGTGGGCGGTTTTATAGCCCGCCTCAAGCATTGCCCCCCCTCCTCCCCCAACCCACATGTCCCCTCCCTCCCTCCCTCTCCCCTCCCTCCTCCCCCCCCCCTCTTTCCCCACCTTTTTCTATGCTCTCCTCCCCTCAGGGCGAGGAGCTGTCATTCGACTACAACTACGAGCGCTTTGTGGGGGCGCGCCCCACGCGCTGCTACTGAGGCAGCCACCTTTCCCTCACTCCTTTTCCACCCTCCTTCCCGGCTCTCCTCCCGCTCTCTGCAGGGCGAGGAGCTGTCGTTTGATTACAACTACGAGCGCTTTGTGGGGGCGCGCCCCACGCGCTGCTACTGCGGCAGCCAGTCCTGCCGCGGCGTGCTGGGCGGCGCTGAGCTCAAGAAGCCACGCGTGCGCCCTGCTGTGCAGCGAGCTGTGGCCGAGGAGGTGGAGGAGGAGGAGGAGGAAGAGGAGGAGGAGGAAGAAGTCGGAGGGAGAGAAGGGGAGGAGAGGGAGGGGCAGCAGATGGTGATTAGTGAGAGAACGATTGGGCTGGGCAGGGAGTGTGAGGCGGAGGAGGAGGGATCAGAGAGTGAGAGTGATGATGGGAGTGAGAGTGAGAGTGAGAGTGGGAGTGAGGGTGAGAGTGAGAGCGAGTCGGGGAGTGAGAGTGAGTGGGAGGAGGTGTACGGGTCAGGGGAGGGGAGCGAGGAGGAGGGAGCAGAGGAGTACGGGTGCAGGCGGGAGGGCATTCATATGGGTGAGGGGGGAAGGCATGGAGAGGAGGGGAGAGAGGGCAGTGGGTGTGCGCGCCTGGCCTGGGAGGGCAAGCGGGCGAGGTCCCGCCTGGCCCTCCCCCACCCCAGGTCGCTCCGCCCTGCGCCCTCCCCCTGGCTCCTCTCCTCCCCGCGCTCCCCCCCCGCCCATGCGCGCCCCCTCCCATCCCCCTCTGCGCGGTCTGGGTCTCTTCAGGGAGGGGTGGCTGCAGGGCGCGAGGGGAGAAGCGTGCAGGGGGGGGCGGGAGAGCAGGGACCAAGACATGGCCGGGGGACGCAGCAGGGGGAGAGGGAGGGGCGGGGCGGGGAGGACGAGGGGGAGGGGGAGCGGGTGTGGTTGGAAGGGGGCGAATGGGAAGGGGATGGGGAACGGGAAGGGGAGGGGGAGGGGGAAGCATGTGTGGAGGACGGGGAGGGGGGCATGCGGCATGCCAAGAGGCGGAGGCTGCGGAAGGTGGCAGGTCTGGGTGAGAGGGTGTGGCGACAGGGTGGGGAGAGGGGCGGGGAGAGGGAGGAGGGGCACAGGGAGGTGTGGGGAGGCGAGGAGAGCGGGGCACATGGGCATGGGTTTGACCTGGTGGCGGAAGCAGCAGGAGGGGGAGCGGGGGCGGGGGAGGTTCAGGCAGCGCCGGCGGAGTATGTGGTAGCGGCGTGCCAGGGGGTGCTCTTCCACTCCGATGGTGAGCTGCTCCTCTGCCCGTGGTGGCATGTGCTGCCGTGTGCTGGCCCATGCTGAGATTGTGCAATTATACATTACCGTACACCTCCAGCCATGCACCCAGCCATGCACCCAGCCATGCACCCAGCCATGCACCCAGCCATGCACCCAGCCATGCACCCAGCCATGCACCCAGCCATGCACCCAGCCATGCACCCAGCCATGCACCCAGCCATGCACCCAGCCATGCACCCAGCCATGCACCCAGCCATGCACCCAGCCATGCACCCAGCCATGCACCCAGCCATGCACCCAGCCATGCATCCAGCCATGCATCCAGCCATGCATCTTCCCATGCACCTCACCCATGCATCTCATCCGTCCCTCACGCATTACCCATGCACCTCCCCATGTGCGTGTGTGCATGAGAGCAGTGGAGGAGGCATTGGAGCTGCTACTGGACGGCAACGATGCGCTCATCAAGGGCAAGGTGGGCTGCCCTTCCGCCGCTCTCTCTCCCACTCTCGTTCCTCCTTGTCTCCCTGCCCTTATCCTTCCCCGTCTCCTTCCTTCCCTCTCAACCGCACGGAAGCCACGCCTTCTTTCTACACTCTAGTCTTCCATACCATACCCTTCCCTCCCTGTTTTCAAGTTTCAACCTCACTCCCTCGTATCGCCTCCTTTCTTTTCTTCCTCCCGAACTCTCCTCGCCCAACCTCCCCCCCATGGCCCGCAGAGCACGGCACGATCCTTTGTGCGGCTGCTCATGCGAGCCACCTCCTGTGGCGACTTCTCCTCGGGCGTCCCCAACTTCAGGTGGGTGGGCTTTGAGCCGCGCCAGGTGGGGGCTCTGGTGGTGGGGTGTGGTGGTGGGGTATGGTGGTAAATGGTGACGTCATGCTATGCCTTACTCCCGGCATCCAGGCATGTGCCATACGCCTCGCATGTTCTGCACTTCGGCTCTTGCTTTGCACACTTTCACTGGCTGGCATGACTGTTCTTTTTATCACCGCTGCACACCACAACCCATGAGCATGTGCGTGTGCGTGTGCATGACTGCCGTGCGTGTGCGTGCCCCCCATGCAGTGCCAAGGAGGTGTCGCTGCTGCTGGAGGCACTGCTGCGCACCTCATCAAGAACACTTCTCAAACACATCATTGCCACCAATGGTGGGTCCCTTCACTACTTTTCTTGCGCCCACACAGAAGTAGGCATTCCTGCACACCTCATCAAGCGATGCCTCCTTCTGCACCCCGTAGCTGTCCTCTCCCATTCGTGCCTGCCAGAATCGCCTCCTCTGCTGCCTATCCCTTCCATCCTCACTTAACTCCTTCTGACCCTTTTCGGGCCCATTTATCCCTGCCTTACTCTCCATCTCCTTCCCCCATGGGGCCCGCCTTACCCCCTCCCCTCTTTCCCCCCACACTTCCCCAGGGCTGAACGTGCTGCAGATCCTGGGGCGCAAGCTGCAGCACGAGAGGGAGTGAGTGGCCATTCTGAGACTTTTGAGTGGACTCGAAAGTCACCCTCCAACCCCCCCCCTCCCCCTTCCCCCCCCGCCCTTTCCCCGCCTCCTTTCAGGGTTGAACGTGCTCCAGATCTTGGGGCGGAAGCTGCAGCACGAGAGGGAGCGAGTGGCCATTCTGAGGAAGCTGCTGCGAGTGGCACACCACCTGCACGCCACCGCTGCCCTCTCCCTGCAGGCCGCTCATGCCGTCCCACCCACTGCCAATGAGAGGTGCGCATGCTGCCGCGCTCCTTCCTTATGCTGCTGGTGCTTGGCTCGCGTCCACCCGCATGCCACATGGTACATACTGATCGGCCTTGCATCATTGCATGCGTCACTTCATCCCCTTCATCCCTTGCCGTCCCGTTGTGCTGCATGGATCGATCAGAGTCCCTGTTCGCGTCCCTGCCCTCCCCCTCCCCTCCGCTCTCCGCTCCCCTCCTCTCTTTCCTCCCCTCCTCTCTCCCCTCCCCCCCACAGCTTCTCTGCGCTCATTGGCCGGCTGCGCAGGCACAGGGACGCGGAGGTGCAGCGGCTGAGCGCCGCCCTCTCCGCCCTGTGGGGCCTGCCGCCCCTCCACCCCCGCCGCCGCGGCGCTGCTCTCTCCTGCGACGGGCGCGGGGGGCCATGGCCGGGCAGGTGGGGAAGGGAGGGGCGGGAAGGGCGGGTGCACAGGGCAGGGAAGTTCAGGCGCGGGCATGGCAGGGTGGCTTTGGCTGCAGAGGGTGCGGGAGGAGCAGCAGGAGAGGGGGGCAACGGTGCGGTTGCACGGGCTGCAGCGTCTGCTGCAGCAGCTGTGGCAGCAGCAGCAGCGGCGGCGGCAGCAGCAGTTGCCAGAAGCCCAACTGCCACAGCAGGAGCAGCTGGTGCTGCTTCACAGCTACCCCAGCGCCACACCTCCTCTCTGGCAGAAGCTGCTGCTGCTGGGACCTGTTCCTCCGCTCCCTCTCACCCTTCTCCTGCTGCGGCCGCTTCAGCCTCTGCCTCTGGCCCTGCTGCTTCGCATCCCACTGCCCCCTCCTCTGCTGCTGCTGATTCCGCCGCTGCGGCGGCAGCAGCAGCCAGCATGCCTCTGCTCGCACACACCCTCCGCCACCTGCAATCGCTGCCGCACCTGCAGACCCTGCCGCACCTGCAGTCGCTCTCACTGCCTCTCACCATGAACCTCGCCCTGGGGGGAAACCTAGGCATGGGCATGGGCATGGGTATGGGCATGGGCATGGGCATGGGCATGGGCATGAACGTACCACCCCAGTTGTGTCACCTGCTGCCGCTGGCCTGCCACTTCCCCTTCCACTACCTGCCTCTGCCGCTTCGCCTCGCGTTTCCCCCGGACCCTGCTTCCCTGCTGATGCAGCAGCAGCAGGGGCCAGCAGCAGCGGCAGCAATGGCAGCGGCCGCTGCAGCCATGGGTGGGCCGGGCTGTCGGCCTCAAGGGGGTGGAGACGCGGGCGGTTCACCACATGGTGCAGGAGCAGCAGCTGCTGCTGCTACTCCACCTGCTGCTGTTTCTCCTGCAGCTGCTGCAGCCGCGACAGTTGCTGGCGATGCTGCAGCGGGTGATCCTAGTGGACATGGGGAAGGTGGTACGGCTGCCACTAATAGCAGTGCTTCTGCCGATGATAGGGCGGTTGCTGCGAATGATAAGAGCACTAGCAAGCCACCACCCACCCCAACCACTGCATCTGCCCAACCCCATGAAGCAGCAGGTGACGCCTCAGCTGTCCCAGCATCAGCACACCCGGTGCCTCCTGCCTCTCACCCCCTGCCTGCTGCCGCGCACCCGTCGCACTTTTCAGCAGCCACCACAGCAGCGGCAGCAGCAGCGGTGCAGCACATGATGCAGCGCCGCCTCTCCCTCGCCCTCTCCCACGCCGTCTCCCAAGCCAACGCCGCCGCCGCTGCTGCTGCCACCTCGCCTGCTGCCAAACCTCCCGCCCCTTTCCACCCACATGCCCCCTCCGCTGCCCCCTCTGCCCCGCCTGCTCCCGATGTTCCCGCTTCCCCACCTGCCGTGCCACATGCCGTTCCACCCTTTGCAACCCCTCCCTCCTCTCCCACCCCGGTCCCTGCCTCGCAGCCCACTAATCACCCACTCCCTGCTGCTGCTGCTTCCTCGCCCACGCCCCCGCCCCCCTCTCCCAAGCTCTCCTCCCAACATGCCCCCCAGCACGCCCCTCCCCACATCTGCGAGCCTCACACGGCGCCCTTTACCAGCCCTGAACGCTGCCCGGCACCTTCTGCCTGCTCTGCTGCTTCCAAGGGGGCCAAGAGGCGGCAGGCGTGGAGGAATGCGGGAGGGGAGAAGGGGACGGAGAAGGAGAGGAGGGAGAAGGAAGGGGAGAACGGATTGGAGAAGGGAAGTCAGAAGGGAGGAGAGGGCCCGGAGAGTGTGGATGGAGTGGGTAACAACGTCCCAAAGCCGGCATTGCCAGTTGCGGCTGCTGATGCTCCTCTTCCTGCCAATACTTCTGCTGCTGCTATTGCTGCAGCGGTTGACACAGCGAGAGGAGAAGAGATGGGAGGGTCAGCAGCAGCGGCAGCAGCGCCTGTGCCCGCACACCGACCACCTCCCTCGTGCCCTGCAGTTTTTGAGTCGTCTCAAAGGTCACCCTCGTCCCCTGCTGCCCTGCCCTCAGCGCCTGTGGCGGGCAGTGCGGGCAGCACATGGCATGGTGCCGTGGTGCATGCAGCAGCATCAGGTGCAGCATGCAGTGTGGTACCCCATGCCACGTGGCATGCTGCTGCTCCGATCGCTGCTCATGCATTGGATATATTCCCTGGCGCCACCACCCCCCCATTCGCCACCGCTGCACCTGCTTCGGCTGCTGCAACTGCTGGGACTTGTGTTAAGGTGGAAGGCAGTGCGACAGGAGCAGAGGTGGCGAGGGGGATGTGGGAAGGGGAGGGCATGGGAGGGACGTGGAGTGCGGAGGTAGCAGAGGCGCAGGGTGCAGGGGCGCAGGGTGCAGGGGCGCAGGGTGCAGGGGCGCAGGGTGCAGGGGCGCAGGGTGCAGGGGGAGGGGGTGCAGGGGGAGGGGACGCAAGGGGAGGGGGGGCAGGAACATGGGGTGCAGGGACACATGATGAAGGGTTTGTAGCGGCAGGCATGGTTGCAGGTGACGCAGCTGCAGGAAGCAGGGCAGTGGCAGCACCAGCATGGGCAAGTGGTGCAGGTGGGTTGGCTGCAGTGCCCGAGTGTGAAGCAGCGGCGGCTCGTGCTGTGCCCGTGCCGCCCCGGCCTCTGTTCAAGTGGGTGGTGAAGGAAATCCCCGTGCATGCTGATGTGCGTGCTGATGTGTGTGCTGACAGACATGTGGACGCGCATGGGGCCCATGGGAGCATGCATGGAGACATGCAGGCAGGCGATATGGCTGATGGTGCTCAGCTGGTGAATGGGGGCGTGAGGGATGGTGGCATGGCAGGTGGTGGGGATGTGGGCGGTGGGGGCATGGGAGCGTCAGGCACGCGCGGTGCAGGCATGGGCGGTGGGGAGAGAACACTGGAGGGTATGCGAAGTGGTGGAATGGCGTGGGGTGGGGAAGTGGGGTGGGGGGGAAGAGCGGGTGGCATTGGAAATTGGGGAGGAGCACACGGGCTGGCTGCGTATGGCATGCCGTATCACACGGCACTTGGCATGGCGTCAGTGCAGCAGGCAGCAGTGCAGCAGGCAACAGCGCAGCAAGCACTGGTGCAACAGGCAGTGGGGCAGCAGGCAGGGGTGCAGCAGCAGGGAGCGGGGCAGCAGCAGTGGTTCGATGCATGCATGCATGGGCATGGGGCAGCAGGGGCGGTGGCAGGGCGAGCCATGGGGTACGCACAGGCAGCGATGCCATGGGCTGTGCAGCACGGCGGGTGGTGGCCTGCTGCTAGAGACCACGCCATGCTGGCAGCAGCAGGGGGAGCGCGAGAGGAGGAAAAGGCAGCTTCACATGGGCCTGACCCTGTGCGGGGTGCTCCTGCTGCTAATAGGACAACTGACACTGCTCACACCGCTGGCATGACTGGAGAGACTAAGGATTCGACTGACGTGACATCAGGACGGATTGATGTGAAGGTAGAGTGTGCGGACACTGCACCGGGCCTTACTGACATAGTACCACATCACACTGACATGCCCAAGGGTTCGACTGATGTCACACCAGGGGTGAGTGATGTGAAGGTAGAGTGTGCGGACACTACACCAGACTTTACTGACATAAGACCACGTTATACTGACATGACACCTGATTTGACTGACATGAAACCAGAGCTTATTGATATGGATCTGGTTTCAGATGAGTTGACTAACATAGCACTGACAAGCGCCGACGTGAAACCGATAGCTGCTGCTGATGTGGAACCAGTAGCTGCTGAACTGGAACCGATAGTTGCTGACTTGAAACCGATGGCTGCTGACCTGGCGGTCCAGAAGGCAGTACCACGTGGCGCCGCTGACATGGCTGGAAGGGCATGCAGTGCGGCGGGCGATGCGACACAGGGAGAGCACAGCCTGACTGACACGGCCCGCTTGTTGCTCCAGCAGCACATGGCCCCTGCTGTGGAGACTAAGGCGGAGGTTGTAGCGCTGCGTGGGCAGGGCTGGCAGAGCTGCCCGGCTGTGGACCCTCCTTTGAGCCGCGTGCAGCAGAAGGGGGCCGAGTTGGAAGAACACAGGAGGCAGTGCCTGCAGGGGCAGCCGCAGCAGCTGCAGCAGTTGGTGGAGCAGCCGAGGGAGGAGGAAGAGCAGGAGAAGCAGAAGCAGGAGCGTATGAGAGGCGGTCGTGTGAAGGAGGAGTGCGGGAGGGGGAGGGGGTCAGGCGAGGGGAAGAGGCGGGCAGAGGGAAGGCGGGCTTCCAGGGGCGAACTGCAAGGAGTTGTGGCTACGGTGCAGAGGGAGGCGAATCTTGGGGCGATGGAGGGGGGGAAGAGGGAGGTGGTGGAGGTGGGGGGCAGGGATGCGTTGCAGGGGGAGGAGCAGGGTCCAGTGCAGGTGAAGGCTGGAGGGGGAGAGAAAGGGGTTGGGGATGTCGTGGAACGCAGCGGGGCACATGCAGGTGTGGTGGACGCGAAGGGAGGTTTGGCGGACGCGAAGGGAGGTTCGGCAGGCGCGAAGGGAGGTTCGGCAGGCACGAAGGGAGATGCGGCGGACGCGAAGGGAGGTTCGGCAGGCGCGAAGGGAGGTTCGGCAGACGCGAAGGGAGGTTCGGCGGACGCGAAGGGAGGTGCGGCGGACGCGAAGGGAGGTGCGGCGGACGCGAAGGGAGGTGCGGCGGACGCGAAGGGAGGTGCAGCGGACGAGAAGGGAGGTTCGGCAGACGCGATGGGAGGTGTGGCAGACGCAAAGGGAGGTGTTGCAGACGCGAAGGGAGGTTCGGCAGGCACGAAGGGAGGTGCGGCGGACGCGAAGGGAGGCTCGGGAGACGCGAAGGGAGGTTTGGCAGAAGCTAAGGGCAGGAAGGTGCGTGGAGGAGCAGGCAAGGCGCAAGAGAGGCTGAGGCGGTGGCAGCAGCTGCAGCAGCAGCAGTTGCAGCAACAGCAGGAGCAGGGGCAGCAGCAGGCAGTGCAGGCGGGCAGGCAGGATGAGGCGGTGGGGCAGGGCACGGGGGATGTGCAGAGGGCGTATGAGAAGGCGGGCAGTGGAAAGGAGGGCGTCAAGGGTGCGGAGGTGGCAGCAGTGTCAGTGCTGGGGGGGCGAGATGGGGCAAGGAAGGGAGCTGGTGCGAAGGGGGAAGAGGATGGCAAGAGGGGAGAGGACGCAAAAAATGGAAAGGATGCAAAAACGGGAGAGGGTGCAAAAACGGGAGAGGGTGCAAAAACGGGAGAGGGTGCAAAAACGGGAGAGGGTGCAAAAACGGGAGAGGTTGCAAAAACGGGAGAGGTTGCTAGAGGAGAAAGGGAGCAGGTGGAAAGGAAGCAGGAGGGGAGGGTGGGCATGGATGGTGGGGTTGAAAATCAATGTGGCCTCCAGCACGCGGATTCTGGGTGCCATGCAGTCAAAGCCCCCTCCGCTGCTGCTGCACCACCGGCTGCTGCGTACCCCGCTGCTGCTGCTGCTGATGCGGGCAGAAGTAGGATTCATGGTGGCGCCGGTGGCAGTGCTGATGGGCCGCCAGCAGCACAGCTGCAAGCACTGTCAATCAAAGCCCCTCAAACACCCTCTATCACTGCTCTGTCGGCCACTGCTGCTCAACCCCCGTCAGCCACTGCCCCTCAACCCCCGTCAGCCACTGCCCCTCAGCCCCCGTCAGCCACTGCCCCTCAACCCCCGTCAGCCACTGCCCCTCAATCCCACCCACACCCTGCCGCCTCCCCCCTCGTGTCAACCCCTCCTCGCGTTCTCTCACCATCGCCTCATCTCTTGCCCTCATCCTCCCCCATGCCCCCCCACGCCTCCTCTCCCATCCCCCCTTCCCCGCTCCCCTCCCTCCCTCTCTCCCAGCCCTCTTACCCATCGCCCTCTCTCCCCCCCCATGTCCCCTCCGCGGCCTCCCTCACTCCGTCCTCTTGGCCGTCCCCTGCTGCTCCTCTCCCGCCCACCGCGCCCCCATCTCGCCCCGCGTTCAAGCTCAAATGGAACGTGCGAGTCATCCCTGCTGATGCGCCCCCTCCCGCTGCTGCTGACGCCCCCTCTTTCCCCGCGGCACATGCTGCTCCTTTTGCTCATGCTGCTTCCGCCCATGCTGCTGCTGCTTATACTTCTCATGGTGCCAGCTCAGCTCATGCAGCCGGCTCAGCGATGCCTCACAGCCTGCAGGCAGGTAGTGCAGCAACAGGGGAAGCAGCAGGAGAGTGTGTGTCACAGTGGAAGGGCGAGGGGAAGGGGTGGCGAAGCGAGGGGCATCGAAGGCAGGGCGATGGGCATTGGCCGAGCAAGGGGCATGGAAGGCAGAGCGAGGGGCATAGAAGGCAGGGAGAGGAGCATGGGATTCAGCAGCAGCACATGCAGGCACATGCGTGGCAGCATCAGCATCAGCAGCAGCAGCAGCATCAGCAGCAGCATCAGCAGCAGCAGCAGCAGCAGCAGCAGCAGCAGCAGCAGCAGCAGCAGCAGCAGCAGCTCAACGGGCCGCATCGACTCTCCTCATCATCATCATCCGCTGGCGTCTCTGCTGGTGCTGCTGCTCGATTCAGCTGCAACTGGCATGTGGACGCGCCTCTGCCACGCGCTCATCTCTCCTCCCCTGCCCCCCTCCGTCCCGTCTCCTCCCCACCTCCCCCGGCCACGGCTGCTGACGGGCTGCCTTATGCCCTGCCACACGCTGCATCGCGTGAGCACCAAAAGCAACAGCATCACATGCAGCATCAGCACACGCAGCATCAGCACGCGCAGCATCAGCACACGCAGCAGCAGCAGTTTCATCATGACGTGACGCAGCATGAAAGCAACGACACTCTCAGCGCACCACCTCATTCTGCTCCTCATGCTGCCCCTTCCCACTACCATGCCCCTTCATCCCTCCCTTCATCCCTCCCATCTTCCCTCCCATCATCCCTCCCATCATCCCTCCCCTCATCCCTCGCCTCCTCTGCCACACCCCCCACCGCGCTCCCCCTGGCATGGCGCCGGGCAGGCAGGCCCGTGTGGAGCGTCAGCACCATTGCCGTACCCGCCAGCCCCTCTGTTGAACCACCCACTCACAACCTGCCACGTGGCACTGCTGGTTTCTCCAGTGCCGCAGATGCTTCAGTGTATCCCGTGCCACATGCAGCCGCCTCTCCTCTCCCACCACCCTCCATTCCGTTCCTGCACCCATCATCCCCGCTCCACTCCTCCCCTCCTCCTCCTCCCCCTCCCCCGCTCTCCCCAGCATCAGTCCGACCTGCACCAGATGCCACCTGCCCCTCTCTTTCCACCAACCCCCATCCCAGTCCACAGGACATTGCTCTGCCCCAGCAACAACCCCCATCTCCTGCCGCCCTTGCTTGCTCACACCCCCCTCCTCCCCCTCTTCCTCCCCCTCCTGCCTCTCCTCCACCATCTCCTCCCCCACCCCCTCCCCCCCCTTCCTCCTCACCCCCTCCCCCGCCACCTTCCGCCCTTCCAGCTCCACCCCCTTCAAGCATCCCCCTCTGTGGCCCGGTTGCCAGCGGGGCAGGGGGTTGGGGCGCAGTGGGGGAAGGGGAGGGGGAAGGGACATGGAGGGTGGGTGAGGGCGCGGGGGGTGCCGGAGTGCAGGGTGGGGAGGTTGGTGGGACGGGTGTGCCCTCGTGTGGGGAGGCGAGACGTGAAGAGGTGGGGAATGGGGAGGTGGGGAATGGGGAGGTGGGGAATGGGGAGGCGGGGTATGAGGAGGACATGGAGGTGGATATGGAAACAGAAGACATCGGTGCGGACATGGGTGCAGGCATGGGTACGAGCATGGGTGCAGGCATGAGTACAAGCATGGGTGCAGGCATGAGTACGAGCATGGGTGCAGGCATGAGTACGAGCATGGGTGCAGGCATGAGTACGAGCATGGGTGCAGGCATGAGTACGAGCATGGGCATGGCCACCTGCATGGGCACGGGTGCGGGCATGAGTACTGGCATGGGTGCGGGCATGGGTACGGGCACGGGCACATGCATGGGCAGGGGCAGTGAGGAGGAGGAGGACATGGATGTGGACATGGACCTCAGTGACCTGGACCTCTCTCACTGCCCTCCTGCCCCGCCGCCACCTGGGCCGGCAGCAGGGGTGGGTGTAGCGGGTGGGCTGGGAGCAGGTGGGCTGGGAGCAGGTGGGGCAACAGCAAATGGCGTGGCAGCAAGTGTGGGAGCAGGTGGGCAGGCATGGGGTAAAGAAGTGGAAGGAGGAGCGGCAGGTGTGGGCGGCAAGGAGGTTGGGGAAAAGGGCAGGGCAGCAGGAACAGCAGAGGGGGCAGAACCGCTTGGTGCAACATTTGTGGGTGCAGCACGAGCCACCGAGCCTAAATTAGCCTCGTCACTCGCACCAGTCCCGTCACTCACGCCAGCTGCGCCAGTGGCACCAGTCCCAGCAGTCCCGGCAGCCTTGGCAGCCCCAGAAGCACCGGCAGCCTCGAGACCCTTGGCGCCATCAGCAGCGGGGGCATCTGCAGCCGCGGCGGCAGGCACGCGGGTGGCGCCAGGGGGCGGCATGGCAGGGGGACGGCGGTGGGTCACTCCGCTGTGCTGCGAGTTTGAAGCCGCGGTGAGATGATGGGCAGGGTAGGGGGTAGGGGAAGGAGATGAGGGTAAGAGGTTGCGGCAGGTGGGGCGTGGTTGCGGGAGGAGGGGTTGCAAGAAGGACGTGTTAATTGCCAATGTTGTTGCGGTGTGCCTTATTTGTGCTTCTCTCTATCCCCAATGCATTCCAACAATGCCTTAAGAGAATTGTGTGGTTGTGTGTGTGTGTGTGTGTGTGTGTGTGTGTGTGTGTGTGTGTGTGTGTGTGGGTGCGCGTGTGTGTGCGTGTGTGTGCGTGTGTGTGCGTGCATGCATGCATGTGTGTGTGCAGGTGACGGGCATCGTGCAGCAGGCCATGGCGCCATTCCTCTCCAAGGTAACTCCTCCACTCAACCTCACTTCTCTCCCTTTCTCAAGACTCGGCACTTGTCCACACTGCCATGGCTTGCTGCTCGTGCTACCCTGGCAGCTCACTCATCACCCAACTGACTCGTCACTTTCCCAATTCCCCCATGTGTGAGTATCTGCCCCATCTGCCCCCATTGCACCCTCTCAACCGCCTGGCTTGTGCCGCATATCAAAGCCCTCCACGCGCGCCTCACTCTTCTGCTTCCCCTCCTCACCTCCACTTCCATCTTCTCCCTTCCCACACACCCCTCCCCTCGTATTCTCTCCCCTTCCCCTGTCTGCAGCTGTCGGGGCGGGAGGTGGAGCGCATGCGGGGCCGGCTGGTGCGGGAGGTGGTGGGGAAGGAAGCGGTGAAGAGCCGGCAGCGCACCCACCAGGTGAGCCACATGAATTCCCAAGGGGCTCCATAGACAGCAGCGCTTGTGCTGCAACCCTGTTCGCTGCCCGAGGACCCGTGCTGCCCCCATAGTAGCAGTGCGTCCCTTGCCCCCACTGTCATTCGAGCATACCTCCTCCCTGACCTGTGCTATACTGAAATCACTTTTGAGAATTCTCTAAAGTGATTTCAATATACCCTGATCTGTGCTTGCATAACCCTAAACCCTAAACCCCCCACCTCTCTGTGAAGCATGCTTGCATACCCCCCTGGTTCGTGTTGTGTCCCTCACAACGCGTGTTTTATACAATGTGTCTGCCTCATATTGTTTATGCCAATGCACCTCCTTTTTATTGCGCCTCCTTTGCGACTCGTGGTTGCTCGCCATGCGATGCTGTTGTGCTGTGTCATGCCAGGGAGCGATGCGGCCCATAGAGGAGCGCCCATTGAGAGAGAAGGTGTCTGCATTCGTGCGCCAGCACATCGCCGTTTACCTGCAGAATAGGCCATCGCTATGATGATAATTATGGCGATATAGGGCAACATGTATTGCTAGTTGTATAGATTGCAATGTATAGAATATCAGCTAACACTAGATAAGCTACTGTACTATATTTTTGTATGGCTTAGCTATAGTTAGGAGATATACCTGATATACTATGTGCATCAAGGTAAAATGGTATTGAGACCTCACATCTTATGCCTTTTCAGAACATTCAACCGTTGTATATCCCGAGTCAAATGTTATTGATCGCGAAGCACCTCCCCGAATTCTATGAAAGTGAACGCCACCAGCAGATCTGCGAACAGATCGAACACCAGACCTACCGTGTCATTTCGTGAATTCAGAAGCTAGTTTCACCACAACGATTGCCGGGTCCCACGCGTACCTCGCCGATCGTCGCGTCTTCCGCCATCCGCACGGCTTGACGCCTGCCTCCTCGCCTCCCCGCCGCAGATCGTCGCACCCGTTTACCTGCCCGGCAGCCGTCCGCTTATCAGCTTCTTTATCCGTCCACCTTATCTGTTCGCACGCGCGCTGCGGTCCGCGTGCCCGCGGGAAGAGCGGCGGGCGGCATGTCGGCGATGTCGGACAACGTGGGGCAGTACGGCCGCATCGGCACCGTGCCGGTAATGCCGCGACCCCACACCTTGCTCCGCCGCCGCTCGTACTGCCGCTTGCGTCGCCACGCCCTTACCCACCACTGCACCCGCTGCGCGCCGTCGACCGGCCCCTCCCAATGAACCAACGCCAGCGTCCGTTCCCTGCTCGCTGCTCTCTTCTCTCTGCGCTCTCCTCTTTCCTCTGTGCGTCACTCACCCTCATCGCATCTTCCCCTCACCCCATCGCCCATCTCCGTGCACTGCCACGCCCCGTCGCTCAATCGCCCAAACCAAATCCCTCTCAGGTGGCCCAGGGAGCCGAAGTCCCTCTAACGCACCCAGGTATGTCCTTATAACGAGTATGTCTTGTCAGCGCGCCCATATTCCTGTGTCCAGCATCGCACGTGACTGCAGCGAGCTCCTTGTCCGCCTTACGCACCTCCCTCCCTTTTGCCTCTTCCAGCCCCTCTGTTTCCTATCCCTGCTCCACATCCCTCCGCTCCTCCCCCCCCTGCTCCTTACCATTGTGTGCCTCTCCCCGCGTCCGCCCAACCCCATCGCCCTGCCTGCTGCGTGGCAGAGTTTCCCTACACGCCCGAGCCCGCAGCGAGCAGGGGATCAGGTGAGTGCGGGCAGCATGTCAGAGCGTGAGCGGCTTGGGCGCACAGCAATACCTTCTCTGCCTCGTGCCATTCCCCTGCCTCTTCACCCCCTCCCCCATCACCCCGCTTCCACTGCACCCTCCTCGGCCCCAACCCTCATCCCCATCCCCTCCCTCTCCCCCTCCGCTCTTCCCACCCCTCTCCCCTCCACCGAACCCCCCCCCCTCCCATGTGCCCCCCAGACACCTTCTCGTCTACCGCAGGTGGGGGCGGTGCGTCCCTGCCGCCGCCCCCAATGGGCATCTGGGGCGTGTTCAGTGTGGCGTTCTACCGCCCCTTCTTTGACGTGGACACCGCTGACGTGGCGGAGCGAGTGCGGGACGCGCTCATGCCCTTCCCGCGCTCCTCCTTCCTCGAAAAGACGGCTCTCAACCCCGACATGTGAGGAGAGGGGTGTGAAGCCGGGCATGTGAGGGGAGGGGTGGCAATCCGGGCATGTGAGGATAGGGGTGTGAGGGCGGACATGTAATAACACCACTCACATCTACGCACCCACTACCCTCCCACCCGTACTCACCCCTCACCAAAACTCCCCCTCCCACCCCACCCCCCCCCTCCCCTCCCCTCCCTCCCCTCCACACCCATACAACAGCTATGGGCCGTTCTGGATCTGCACGACGCTCGTGTTCCTGTCCGCTTCGCTGGGCAACCTGGCCAGCTACCTGAGCTACGCTGCCTCGCCGTCATCAGCCGCGGAGGAGCACTGGCACTACAACATCGACGCCGTCAGCTGGGCTGCTGCCATCTTCTACGGCTATGTGGCCGTCGTGCCGCTGCTGCTCTTCTTCCTCCTGCGCTACCTGCAGGTACTACCCGCACTGCTGCTCTGTGCTACCTGCAGGTACTACCCGCACTGCTGCTCTGTGCTACCTGCAGCTACTGTCCGCACTGCCGCTCTGTGCTACCTGCAGCATGTATCGTCTCTGCTGCTCCGTGCTATCCCCAACACCTGGAGTCGTTCCCTCTGACTTGGATGGAGTGCTGAAAGGAATCCCAGCCACTGCATGCAGAGTGCTTGTCTCCGCTGAACGCTGCTCACTGGGTTAGCAACAGCGTTTGATCATTGCCCCTTTCTGCCTTCCCGTGCATGGCATGTGCATGGCATGCGTGTGGAGTGCGTTTGGCGTGCGTGCGGTGTGTGCACGGTATGTGCATGGTGTGGCGTGTGCCTGGCGTGCACCTGTCGTGTGTGTGTGCAGGTTTCCGCAGGGTTGGTTCAGCTGTGGTGTCTGTATGGCTACTCTCTGGCCGTCTACATCCCCATCTCGGTACGTGCAAGGGGCGAGGGGCATGGTGCAAGGGACATGGGGCATGGGGCATGGGGCATGGTGCAAGGGGCATGGGGCATGGGGCATGGGGCAAGGGGCAAGGGGCATGGGGCATGGGGCATGGTGCGTGGTGCGTGGTGCATGGTGCGTGGTGCATGGTGCGTGGTGCGTGGAGCATGGTGCATGGTGCATGGAGCAAGGTGCATGGAGCAAGGTGCTGGCCTCCCCAGCGCCCGCTGCTATTTCCCTCTGCCATGCGCCAAGGGCATCAGGCAGCACCGTGAATGCCAGCGCATCTATGCACCCTCACACACATGTGCATTGGCACATGAAACATCATCCGTCATGCATCTGCCTTGCACGTACTTCCTCTTTGTACCTCTCACCCCCCCTTCCCCTTCTCCCCTCCCCCACCCCCTTCTCCCCCCCTTCCCGTCCCCCGGCAGTTCATAACGGTGCTGCCGCTGGACCTGCTGCGCTGGCTCATAGTGCTGGGCGCCACGGCCATCTCGTGCTTCTTCCTCGGTGTCAACCTGCGCGCGCAAATCACAGTGGGCCACGAGATGTGGTTCCCCATCGTCGTCGGCGCTGTGCTGCTGCAGGCCGGCCTGGGGGTTCTCCTCAAGCTCTACTTCTTCACCTACATTCAGCTCTAGGCCCCGCTCTTGAGGTGCCTCAAAAGACTCAGCTCTAGGCCCTGCTTTTGAGGTGCCTAAAAATACTTTCAGCTCTAGGAAAGGTCATGCTGGAAAGCTGTAACGAGCGTGTTTTGTTACACAGGTACCCAGAATGCACTCCTGGCAAAGCTGATGGATGGCACTCACACATGCCTATGCCTTGCCAGGCCTGTCTCCCAGAATGTGAACAGCGGAACAAGGTTGGATTAGCAAGCATGAGAAACAATACAAACCCTAAAGAATTGTACTCACTAAAATCTACTTCACTGTAGCCAATCACAGATATGAACATAGTTTGACACACCCCCACAAACGAAAGGAGGGGCAGAAGACCACATCGCTGCGCTTGTCTGGGCCTATTGCTAAACCAGCAAGGGCGTGGGAGGGTTGCGAGCATCATCGGTCATCGGCACTCGCGAATGAAGAGCGTCCGCTGCACTTCCTGCACATGTGCGGATCCTTCCGCGTTTTGGGGCTGGAAGCGCTAGTTCCGAGCGTTTTTCTTCCGCCGGGTCACGTGGATGCGCTTGTCTGGGCCTATTGCCAAGCCAGCATGGGCGTGGGAGGGTTGCGAGCATCATCGGTCATCGGCGAAGAGCGCCCACTGCACTTCCTGCACATGTGCTGATCCTTCGGCATTTTGGGGCTGGAAGCGCTCGTTACGAGCGTTTTTCTTCCACCGGGTCACATGGTTGCGCTTGTGTGGTCCTATTACCAAGGCTGCAAGGGCGTGGGAGGGTTGCAAGCATCATCGGTCATCGGGGCTAGCGAATGAAGAGCGCCCGCTGCACTTCCTGCACATGTGCGGGTCCTTCCGCGTTTTAGGGAGAAGCACTCGTTCCGAGCGTTTTTCTTCCGCCGGGTCACGTGGCTGCGCTTGTTTGGTCCTATTACCAAGTCAGCAAGGGCGTGGGAGGGTTGCACGCATCATCGGTCATCGGCGCTAGCGAATGAAGAGCGCCCGCTGCACTTCCAGCACATGTGCGGGTCCTTCCGCGTTTTAGGGGGAAGCACTCGTTCCGAACGTTTTTCTTCCGCCGGGTCACATGGTTGCGCTTGTGTGGTCCTATTACCAAGGCTGCAAGGGCGTGGGAGGGTTGCAAGCATCATCGGTCATCGGGGCTAGCGAATGAAGAGCGCCCGCTGCACTTCCTGCACATGTGCGGGTCCTTCCGCGTTTTAGGGAGAAGCACTCGTTCCGAGCGTTTTTCTTCCGCCGGGTCACGTGGCTGCGCTTGTTTGGTCCTATTACCAAGTCAGCAAGGGCGTGGGAGGGTTGCACGCATCATCGGTCATCGGCGCTAGCGAATGAAGAGCGCCCGCTGCACTTCCTGCACATGTGCGGCTCCTTCCACGTTTTGGGGGTAGAAGCGCTCGTTCCGAGCGTATTTCTTTCGCCGCGTCACGTGGCTGCGCTTGTGTGGTCCCATTACCAAGCCAGCAAGGGCGTGGTAGGGTTGCAAGCATCATCGGTCATTGGCGCTCGCGAATGAAGAGCGCCCGATGCACTTCCTGCACATGTGCGGGTCCTTCCGCGTTATGGGGGTGAAAGTGCTCGTTCCGAGTGTTTTTCTTCCGCAGGGTCACGTGGCTGCGCATGTCTGGTCCTATTACCAAGCCAGCAAGGGCGTGGGAGGGTCACACGTATCATCGGTCATCGGCGCTCGCGAATGAAGAGCGCCTGCTGCACTTCCTGCACATGTGCGGCTCCTTCCCCAGTTTGGGGGTGGAAGCGCTCGTTCCGAGCGTTTTTCTTCCGCCGCGTCACGTGGCTGCACTTGTCTGATCCTATTACCAAGCCAGCAAGGGCGTGGGAGGGTTGCAAGCATCATCGGTCATTGGCGCTCGTGAATGAAGAGCGCCCGCTGCACTTCCTGCACGTGTGCGGGTCCTTCCGTGTTTTAGGGGGAAGCACTCGTTCCGAGCGTTTTTCTTCTGCCGGGTCACATGGCTACACTTGTCTCGTCCTATTACCAAGCCAGCAAGGGCGTGGGAGGGTTGCAAGCATCATCGGTCATCGGCGCTAGCGAATGAAGAGCGCCCGCTGGACTTCCTGCACATGTGCGGCTCCTTCCGCGTTTTGGGGGTGGAAGCGCTCGTTCTGAGCGTTTTTCTTCCGCCGGGTCACGTGGCTGCGCTTGTCTGGTCCTAGCAAGTCAGCAAGGGCGAGCGAGGGTTGCAAGCATCATTGGTCATTGGCGCTCGCGAATGAAGAGCGCCCGCTATACCTCCTGCACATGTGCGGGTCCTTCCGCATTTTAGGGGGAAGCACTCGTTCGGAGCGTTTTTCTTCCGCCGGGTCACGTGGCTGCGCTTTTCTGGTCCTATTACCAAGCCAGCAAGGGCGTAGGAGGCTTGCAAGCATCATCAGTCATTGGCGCTCGCGAATGAAGAGCGCCCGATGTACTTTGTGCACATGTGCAGGTCCTTCCGCGTTTTTGGGGGAAGCACTCGTTCCGAGCATTTTTCTTCCGCCGGGTCACGTGGCTGCGCTTGTCTGGTCCTATTACCAAGCCAGCAAGGGCGTGGGAGGGTTGCAAGCATCATCGGTCATCGGCGCTAGCGAATGAAGAGCGCTCGCTGCACTTCCTGCACATGTGCGGCTCCTTCCGCGTTTTGGGGGTGGAAGTGCTCGTTCTGAGCGTTTTTTTTCCGCCGGGTCACGTGGCTGCGCTTGTCTGGTCCTATTACCAAGCCAGCAAGGGCGTGGTAGGGTTGCAAGCATCATCGGTCATTGGCGCTCGCGAATGAAGAGCGCCCGATGCACTTCCTGCACATGTGCGGGTCCTTCCGCGTTATGGGGGTGAAAGTGCTCGTTCCGAGTGTTTTTCTTCCGCAGGGTCACGTGGCTGCGCATGTCTGGTCCTATTACCAAGCCAGCAAGGGCGTGGGAGGGTCACACGTATCATCGGTCATCGGCGCTCGCGAATGAAGAGCGCCTGCTGCACTTCCTGCACATGTGCGGCTCCTTCTCCAGTTTGGGGGTGGAAGCGCTCGTTCCGAGCGTTTTTCTTCCGCCGCGTCACGTGGCTGCACTTGTCTGATCCTATTACCAAGCCAGCAAGGGCGTGGGAGGGTTGCAAGCATCATCGGTCATTGGCGCTCGTGAATGAAGAGCGCCCGCTGCACTTCCTGCACGTGTGCGGGTCCTTCCGTGTTTTAGGGGGAAGCACTCGTTCCGAGCGTTTTTCTTCTGCCGGGTCACATGGCTACACTTGTCTCGTCCTATTACTAAGCCAGCAAGGGCGTGGGAGGGTTGCAAGCATCATCGGTCATCGGCGCTAGCGAATGAAGAGCGCCCGCTGGACTTCCTGCACATGTGCGGCTCCTTCCGCGTTTTGGGGGTGGAAGCGCTCGTTCTGAGCGTTTTTCTTCCGCCGGGTCACGTGGCTGCGCTTGTCTGGTCCTAGCAAGTCAGCAAGGGCGAGCGAGGGTTGCAAGCATCATCGGTCATTGGCGCTCGCGAATGAAGAGCGCCCGCTACACCTCCTGCACATGTGCGGGTCCTTCCGCGTTTTAGGGGGAAGCACTCGTTCTGAGCGTTTTTCTTCCGCCGGGTCACGTGGCTGCGCTTTTCTGGTCCTATTACCAAGCCAGCAAGGGCGTAGGAGGCTTGCAAGCATCATCAGTCATTGGCGCTCGCGAATGAAGAGCGCCCGATGTACTTTGTGCACATGTGCAGGTCCTTCCGCGTTTTTGGGGGAAGCACTCGTTCCGAGCATTTTTCTTCCGCCGGGTCACGTGGCTGCGCTTGTCTGGTCCTATTACCAAGCCAGCAAGGGCGTGGGAGGGTTGCAAGCATCATCGGACGACCTGAATATTGTTGCATATTCAGATGGCCCATGCTCAAATACACTGATCAGAGCATTTCCGGCTCGGTTCGTGCGCACAGAAAAGTTCGGCGCCTGCGATGACGGCCGCACCTGCCGACAAACGCTAAGGAAGCGCATGGATCCCCACAAGCGTGGGGAAAAGCATCGAACGACCTGAATGTTGTTGCATATTCGGGTGGCCCATGCTCAATTCACCTACCTGAGCAATTCCGGCTTGGTTCGCACGCACCAAAAAGTTCGGCGTCTACGATGACGGCCGCGCCTGCCGACAAACGCTAAGGAAGCGCATGGATCCGTACAGGCACAGATGAACGCGTCAAACGAACTGCATGTTGTTGCATATTTCGGTGGCCCATGCTCAAATACACCCACTTGAGCAATTCCGGCTTGGTTCGCGCGCACAGAAAAGTTCGGCGCCTGCGATGACGGCCGCGCCTGCCGACAAACGCTAAGGAAGCGCATGGATCCCTGCAGGCGTAGGGAAAAGCGTCGAACGACCTGAATGATGTTGCATATTCGGGTGGCCCATGCTCAAATTCACCCACCTGAGCGATTCCGGCTTGCTTCGCGCGCACAGAAAAGTTCGGCGCCTGTGATGACGGCCGCGCGTGTCAACAAACACTAGGGAAGCGCATGGATCCCTACAGGCGTAGGGAAAAACGTCAAACGACCTGATAATTGTTGCATATTTGAGTGGCCCATGCTAAAATACACCCACCAGAGCATTTTCGGCTTGGTTCGCGCGCACAGAAAAGTTCGGTGCCTGCGATGATGGCCGCGCCTGCCGACAATCGCTAAGGAAGCGCATGGATCCCCACAGGCATGGGGAAAAGCGTCTAACGACCTGAATGTTGTTGCATATTCAGGTGGCCCATGCTCAAATATGCCTACCTGAGCAATTCCGGCTTGGTTCGCACGCACAAAAAAAGTTCGGCGCCTGCGATGGCGGCCGCGCCTGCCGACAAACGCTAAGGAAGCGCATGGATCCTTACAGGCGTAGATAAACGCGTCGAACGAACTGCATGTTGTTGCATATTCGGGTGGCCCATGCTCAAATACACCCACTCGAGCAATTCCGGCTTGGTTCGCGCGCACAGAAAAGTTCGGCGCCTGCGATGACGGCCGCGCCTGCCAACAAATACTAAGGAAGCGCATGGATCCCTACAGGCGTAGGGAAAAGCGTTGAACGACCTGAATGTTGTTGCATATTCGGGTGGCTCATGCTCAAATACACCCACCAGAGCAATTCCGGCTTGGTTCGCGCTCACAGAAAAGTTCGGCGCCTGCAATGACGGCCGCGCCTGCCGACAAACGCTAAGGAAGCACATGGATCCCTATGGGCGTGGGGAAACGCGTCGAACGATCTGAGTGTTGTTGCATATTCGGGGGGCCTATGCTCAAACCCACCAGAGCAATTCCGGCTTGGTTCGCACGCACCAAAAAGTTCGGCGTCTACGATGACGGCCGCGCCTGCCGACAAACGCTAAGGAAGCGCATGGATCCGTACAGGCACAGATGAACGCGTCAAACGAACTGCATGTTGTTGCATATTTCGGTGGCCCATGCTCAAATACACCCACTTGAGCAATTCCGGCTTGGTTCGCGCGCACAGAAAAGTTCGGCGCCTGCGATGACGGCCGCGCCTGCCGACAAACGCTAAGGAAGCGCATGGATCCCTGCAGGCGTAGGGAAAAGCGTCGAACGACCTGAATGATGTTGCATATTCGGGTGGCCCATGCTCAAATTCACCCACCTGAGCGATTCCGGCTTGCTTCGCGCGCACAGAAAAGTTCGGCGCCTGTGATGACGGCCGCGCGTGTCAACAAACACTAGGGAAGCGCATGGATCCCTACAGGCGTAGGGAAAAACGTCAAACGACCTGATAATTGTTGCATATTTGAGTGGCCCATGCTAAAATACACCCACCAGAGCATTTTCGGCTTGGTTCGCGCGCACAGAAAAGTTCGGTGCCTGCGATGATGGCCGCGCCTGCCGACAATCGCTAAGGAAGCGCATGGATCCCCACAGGCATGGGGAAAAGCGTCTAACGACCTGAATGTTGTTGCATATTCAGGTGGCCCATGCTCAAATATGCCTACCTGAGCAATTCCGGCTTGGTTCGCACGCACAAAAAAAGTTCGGCGCCTGCGATGGCGGCCGCGCCTGCCGACAAACGCTAAGGAAGCGCATGGATCCTTACAGGCGTAGATAAACGCGTCGAACGAACTGCATGTTGTTGCATATTCGGGTGGCCCATGCTCAAATACACCCACTCGAGCAATTCCGGCTTGGTTCGCGCGCACAGAAAAGTTCGGCGCCTGCGATGACGGCCGCGCCTGCCAACAAATACTAAGGAAGCGCATGGATCCCTACAGGCGTAGGGAAAAGCGTTGAACGACCTGAATGTTGTTGCATATTCGGGTGGCTCATGCTCAAATACACCCACCAGAGCAATTCCGGCTTGGTTCGCGCTCACAGAAAAGTTCGGCGCCTGCAATGACGGCCGCGCCTGCCGACAAACGCTAAGGAAGCACATGGATCCCTATGGGCGTGGGGAAACGCGTCGAACGATCTGAGTGTTGTTGCATATTCGGGGGGCCTATGCTCAAACCCACCAGAGCAATTCCGGCTTGGTTCGCGCGCAGGGAAAAGTTCGGCGCCTGCGATGACGGCGCGCCTGCCGACAAATGCTAAGGAAGCGCACGGACCCCTACAGGCGTATACGTTTGCACTTGGTCCGAGGACCAGGCCCATACGTTTGCACTTGGTCC